AAGTTTCAGCAACCATAAATTTTCGGCAGATTTTGTGTTTTGTGCAATTTCTTATTGTGAACCTGTTCAGTTCTTTACTTTTACATGATTGATGTTTTAGAGGATTTTAGCACGATTAAAGTGTTTAACTGACCGTGATCTCAACTGGTTTGGTTATTGTCGCTTTCACTGGCGGCTCAGTCAGACAGCCGCAAGAGCACTCCGAGTTTAACTCATTCTCTACCACTCTCTCTACAAAGAAATATATTATTTTATGATTATTCATATATTCTTGTGGGTCTAGTCTTTTAATTTGTCGACATTTAAAAGAGGCTTATTACAAATAAAGTGCCCAAATGGCCGTGATCCCAACTGCCAGCTGATTGTCGCTTTCACTGGCGGCTCAATCCAGTCAGCCACGGTTACACTGCGAGTATAACGCGTTCCCTATCACTCTTGCTGCAAGGAAATACATTATTTTATTATTATGAATATATTCTTATGACTCTATTCTTTTGTATGATTGACGTTTTAGGTGGGTTTATCCCAATTAAAGCAGTCAAATGAATGTGATCCCGACTGGTTGCTTACTGACTCTCAATCCAGCCAGCCGGTTAAACTGCGAGTATAACGCGTTCCCTATCACTCTCACTGTATGAAAATACATTATATTAATATTATAAATATATTTTTATGACTCTATTCTTTTGTATGATTGACGTTTTAGGTTGGTTTATCCCAATTAAAGCAGTCAAATGAACGTGATCATGACTGGTTGCTTACTGACTTTCAATCCAGCCAGCCGGTTAAACTGCGAGTATAACGCGTTCCCTATCACTCTCACTGCAAGGAAATAAATTTTTTATTATTTTATTGTTATGAATATATTCTTATGACTCTGTTCTTTTGTATGATTGACGTTTTAGGTGGGTTTATCCCAATTAAAGCAGTCAAATGAATGGGATCACGACTGGTTGCTTACTGACTCTCAATCCAGCCAGCCGGTTAAACTGCGACTATAACGCGTTCCCTATCACTCTCGCTGTATGAAAATACATTATATTAATATTATAAATATATTTTTATGACTCTATTCTTTTGTATGATTGACGTTTTAGGTTGGTTTATCCCAATTAAAGCAGTCAAATGAACGTGATCATGACTGGTTGCTTACTGACACTTCTCTTGGCGCTCAACCAGCCAGCCGCTGCTGAGCTGCGAGTATAACGCGTTCCCTATCACTCTCACTGCAAGGAAATACATTTTTTTATTATTATGACTATATTCTTATGACTCTATTATTTTGTATGATTGATGTTTTCGTTTTTTCCCCCAATGAAAGCAGTCAAATGAATGTGATCACGACTGGTTGCTTACTGACGCTTCGCTGGACGCTCAACCAGCCAGCCGCTGCTGCCTCTCATTCCAAGGAAATCATTCTAATTGTTATGGATACTGCCACTAGTTGTGACGATTTTACGACTTATGTTATGTAATAACATTTGTTATGCAATAATGTAAAGCATAAAAATGCCTATTAAAATGTGAATTATCCCAATAACATGAATCTTTCTCATTAAGTAATTTCAGCGACAACAGGACAAACTGCAATGCTTTTTAATAATTCTATAAAAGAAAGCCAACTTAAACTCCATTAGGGGTTCAATCCCTAACTGATTGGCAGCACCAGTGACCATTGGCAGCTGGCAGTCTGATTCTGGCAGGTCACGTGATCTGCCAGTGGTTGGCTGCCTGGCGGCTGGAAGTCCACTGTCAGGAACCATTGATTTATGGCAGATTTATGTTGCTCTCCTTCCACTCTATACAAACATGACAAACATGCATCTTTTGACCGTCGATTTGTATCAGTATACACACAACTGCTTCAAATTCATACTCTTATCAGTTACATATTGCATATAAAACTATCATAATATATTTCATGTGGATATGGCATAATAATGTCATAGCATCAAAATGTCATACTGCTTAGGCTACCTTATGCTACACGAAACAGACTATATTTGTATATTAGAGAGCTAAATGGGTTAGTCTGTTTTTTAACCGATGTAGTTCACTTAACTGTTATTTGTTATGACAGTCTGGTGGGCTAGAGAGACAACTTCTAATGCAGTTCAAGGCAAGCTAAAAGCTACATTGCATCACAGCAATCATTTGGCTGACTTTAACTCAAAACGTCACCAATTTAAAAACAAACGGGTTAAAATAAAAAACAACCATATTGTTTTCAGCTCCTTCTTTCTTTAAAGAGCTCAATTATTAACTGGGAGCGATCATGGTGAGTGCAGAAGAGATAAACATAAAGGGCTAAACATCGACTACAGTGAGTCAACTAACGTTACAAATCAAAATAAAGCAAAACAGCAACAACCTCGCGGTCTTTCAAGCCTAACAGCAGTACTTCCTCCATCAGGGTCAGTCTGGTTTCCTTGGAATCACCGCTGTCATCCTCGTCCTGCTCGTCTCCACGGCGGGGCTCGTAGTCCTCGTCGCCGGATCCGCGGTCTCGGTCTGCGGCTGCAGCGCTGCGCGAAGCCTCGGTGCGTCTTTGCACCAGGCCGGAGCTTCGCTGGGTCAAAGTACTCATATCTCAAACACTAAAACTAAACCTCCTTCCCAGACAGCTCCTGTCTGAGAAAAGACTGACTTATTCAGTCCGATGCATAAATGATTCCCGGGGTGAATTAGGGGAATGAAGGTGTAAATCGGGATTTGTTTTGGAGAGGGGCCCCTCGCGATCCCTACCGCGGAGCGTCGCCGAACCGTCAGGTTTAATATGGCGACCAGCCGTGACGAGAACAGCCGTGGATGTGGCATCTCGACACTCAGGTTGGATACCGAGACAGCATTTTTTGAGCATCTTTGTGCGTTAGTTAGCACCAGGGTAATATATTTAACTACAACCAAAACCATTAAAAAAATATTTGGTTACTTGAAATAAAATATACTATTAAATTTTTTTTTTTAAACTAGGTGCCAAAGCAACATTTCTCATTTTTATTTATTTTAACTTGATGTAGTAAAATAAATTAAATTAAATAAAAACTATATACACAAAAAAAAGAAAAGAATAGAAATAACAAAAAACAGAGAAATGACAGAAATTAATAGCCTACTAAACTTTACCTAAAAAAAGAAAAAAAACTAATCAATTCTAAGAATGTCTCAGTGGTACTAAGATAGCTTTGTACCACACTAGGTTTTATGACAGACTTCAGGTGGTGCCATAAATATATTATATCATTTATTTAAAAATTTTTCATTTTAGGGGAAGTTGTACTGTTACTGCACTTTCAAGAGAATCAGCGTACAAAGAATAACGATCATATAAAATATCTAAAATATTATAAAGAAAGATATATATATATATATATATATATATATAATTTTAAAAAAATCAGAACTATATAACCTTTAAAAATCATGGTGTTTAATCTAAAATGATTGCTTGTTAGATTACTTGTAATAAGAATTGAACACGATTGCAAAGCAGTCTTTTATTTCAATCATATTCTGTGGACAAAAAGAGCGAGTGACATATTTCTCAAGTGCATAAATAAAAGTATTTAATGCTTCTTTTACATGAAAATTATCATTTTTAAGTCAATGGTCCAAAATAAAGCAATCTGACATACTTCATATATTTCAAGGCCAAACTCTGATAATGTGAACATTAAAAGTTGGTTATAGAAAAACACAAAACAATTGTACAGTATTAAGTTCAGTAATAAGTATCAAATCCAGCTTGCAATCACTTGCCATACACAAGAGAAGTGCTGAACTGAACTGAAGTGAACAGAATCAGATTTACAGCTGACTGTTCAAGTAACAGTGACTGACTGGCAAGGAGCAGTAGTGCAAAACAAGGGTGGAAAAAGGTGGAAACAAAAACAAAATGCTCAGGAAACTGCTTTCTCCACACTTTTGCCAGCAAATAACAGTTCAGAGCTTACATCAGTTTCATTACATTTCAAATGCTGAAAAACACAATTTGAACAACACATTTTTTTGGATGAAGAGCCTGTTGATTTGTGGCAGTAGTCCTGCAGGCACCTCAGAAAGGAAAATAAGAAAATGTGCACAAATGCAGATACAGTATTACATTAGCTTATGTTTAAATAATTATATTTGGAGAGGCTTGAAGTTTACTATGATTTTCCATTTTATATATATATATATATATATATATATATAATGGAAAATCATAGTAGACTTTATATATATAAAATTGGGCAGTTGAATCTCGTTGTGGTAAGTATTAATAAATTGTGATGATATTAATAATCAGCTTTGTGTACTTTTTTAAATCGTTGTGTCTTAATGTACTACTATAATAAGATCCAGCCTATCACTGGATGGTTAAGAGCCACACAATGTACATTATGCAACAAAGCACTGAAACTCTGAGACAGCTGATCTCATGTATTGTTCCATACTTCCTGTTTTCTTACATTTTCTTAAGAAGAAAAAAAACATTTATAAACCCGAAGGTTGACTTGGCATCTAGGGAAAAGAAATGAGCAGTCACATCAGACCACAGTGAGTATAATCTAATCTTGAATAAATTTTAAATGCAGCAGTAACAATAATATACCTGTAGATGGCTCTACACTATTTTCCTTGGCTAACCTTCTTTAGATACAGAAAACATGCTTTAAGAACTGCAGCGGCCTTTTTCCAACCCTCTGAGTACAGTAATATGTGAGAAGTCAGAGAAGTGTGGAAGTCAAATGTATTTGTAACTCTTATAATGGTTGCTATTATTCAGGATAATTTAATCTATTCATAGACCACTGGAATGGAATACTGTTTGGAATGTTACTTGGTAATGATTTTATGTAACACTGCACTGTGGAAAGGCTGGAAGTTCAGGGCTATATCCTGTTCCTGTGTTGTGATGAGCAAGAGAACAATTCTAGGCATTGTTCCATGAAGAACATCAAAAATAAAAGAGCTTACATCCTGTCTGAAGGCTCGTATTATATTTTCGATACAGTAGGGCACATGTGGTTTGACAAAAGCCTGTTTTACTTTCCAAAAGGACCCGCTTTAGCACCAAAGGCACTTTAAGCACCTAATTTGAATCTGACAAGGCCACTATAATCCCGTATTTACTTCATAATATTATAATTTAATAATAAATGGACGAATATTTAATATATGGCTGAAAATAGATTCTCTGTTAAACAAAACTCGCAACCGAACTGGCCTCATCCTCCTGACTGGCTAGGCTGTCAGTTACCATAAGTCTTTGCATCAGACCTGTAGGAATGATGGGCTTGAAAGATCGGTTGCGGGTGTAAGCGAAGGGAAATGAGGATGACAATCGTCCCGAGGAGCCAAACGAGAGCAGCCGGTGCTGAATGTATGGACGGTGATCAATTTTAGCAGCTTGTGACGTGTCTCTTTGCTCCAGCACACGCTTCAGATCCTGCACCTGACTTAGAAGTTCCATAAGCTTGGTCGTCATTGCCACGGAGCCTCCGCCCAGGATGTACACCTCAGGTATCCAGCGCAGGTAGCGCTGCATCCAGACACGGACAGCCGGTCCGTCCAGACAGGGGAGCAGGAGGCCGTGATAGTCCACAGGACGGTGCTGCCAGGACTCGTAGAACTCTCGGGTAGTGGCAGCGGGGGAGTCAGGAGAGCCCATCCAGCGACTGAGACGCTTCACTTGTAGCATCTTTTTAAGGCTGTCGGTCTCGTCCTTAAAGAAACCTTTCTTCAGTGGGGTTTTGAAAGCTGTACTGGGTAAGGATAACTGTCTTTGGTGCTAGAGATTTTAAATAAAAAACAATGTAAATATTACATATTAATGCACAGAATGAACTCACTTAGAAATTAATCAATATTAACAGCACAGCACAGTCAGACAAACAAACATAAAGCTAAAGTAGGGCAAGATTGGGTATGGTGTCTCCAACACCTTCTTTTTCCTCTTGACTACAGACGTCACTACATCTCAACAAATTTACCAAATAGCTATGCTCTTATAAAGGTTTTATCTGAACACCAACATTTGTGAGATTTATTATATTTGAACAGTAAAGCATTTAGATTTGTATGGTAACAAATACAGGTTGTTTAAATATTTTGTAGCAAGAGGTTAATATGGAAGTCCGTTTCCGCCACTGAATAAAAATAAATAAATAAATAAAAGGTGTTTTCATATCTGATCCTTCCTAATTTTTCCCCTCACAATTACGAGTTTACATCTCGCAATTGTGACTTTTTTTCTCCAAATTACACGATATGAACTCGCAATTGCGAGTTATAAAGTCAGAATAGTGGGATATAAACTCGCAATAGCGAGTAATAGCGAGACAAACTCGCAATTCTGACTTTTTTCTCAGAATTGCATGATATAAACTTGCAATTGTGATCTATAAAGTCATAATAGTGGGATATTAACTCTCAATTACAAGAAAAAAAGTCTGAATTGTGAGAAAAAGTCGCAATTATTTTTTATGTTTCTTTTTATTCAGTGGCGGAAACGGGCTTCCATAGGTTACAGAAGAATTTGGCTTTTTTTTTTTTTTTATTCAGAACGAAAAAGAAATTGCAAAAACATTTATCCCAATTGTAACATATTCAAGTTATCAACCAATAAAAAAAACCCAAAAAAAAAAACATTATGGTTGATTTTGTCCATCAGTAATGACTGCATCATAGAAAACGGCACTGCAAAATAAATGGGTTCACATGATCTAAAACATCTGGCTAATAATGACTTTTTTCAACATTTTAAAATATGAAAATTGTTTATAATTACATATATATTTTTTTATTTTACATTGCAGGTCTGCAAATAATTCAGATTGCATATTGTAAATTCAGCTATGTGTCTCTGACTGGGATTCTGTCATTGATTTATTGGTCATTATTCAGGTAATTTTAAACATGCATTTATGCATTCATTGATTTGATGACACCTTATTGAAACATCAATCATTGTGTTTCACATGATATCAGATATATCTGCATTTTAAATATTACGCTACAAAACCTAAATGTGCAAATTTATTTCCATTAATAATATACTGCATGATGCATACATGCTAAACTAATTTCTAAATATGATACAATTTATCAGTAAATTAACACAGATCTTAAGGAAGGCATTCTTCAACATCTTTCCCTAAATTATTAAATATAGGGGCATTTCACTCTCTCACCTTAGGCTTGTGAGGTTTGCGTACAGCTTTCTCATGTTTCACCTTTTCTGAATACAGGGGGTTATAGAAGAAATTCTGGGCCTTGCTGTCAAACTGCACAGACCAGTCCCACACTGTAGGGCAGCTCAATGGGCCGCTTTGTGCAAGCGGTGACTCTGCCTGCCAAGACAATCAAGCACAGGCAGTTAGCAGGAGTGCCGACTATGTCAGGGAGGCAACGGCCACCATCTTTGGAGAACATGTAGACTAATAACAGCATTACAAAGGGCTGATTGTTTTCTTGTTAGTCACTGTACTTCTATACAGGCCTCTAATACGGTTCAACATGCAGAATGGTGAATGCAGTACTCAAAAAGCAATCTTCAAAACAGTGTACCAAACTAACTCTAAGGTGCAATCACAATGACACCAACCTCCACAAGAGAGTTTTAAATGAATATATAAGTTCTACCTTCATAACACCTTCTCTGTGATGGGCAGAGTTAAAAAGAAATGTGCTAAAGATTGGCACGTGAACACTGTCGGACAGCACAGTTAGGTAAGTCTCGGAGAACTGGAAGGCTGGGCTGTGCTGCTGAACAAGCTGCCACACGCACTCCAGGAACAGGAGGAAGACTGGAGAATGACACTACATTGAGAAACAAGAATCAAATTCAAAAGAAAATGAGGATGAGAATGGCTCGTATGTCGGACATCGTTAAATCACACAATAAGATGATCAGTAACATGCTGAAGGGGTTTATTTTGCAATAATTCTATATTTTAACAAACACAAAGAGGTAAATAAACAGACATTGCTTTTAGTTGAAATTATATTATTATAGGAAAAGAAAGAGGTAGCGTGCAATGAAAAACATGATAGTACTGCAGAAGATTATCTGAACTGAATAGTCAAGAGTTCACTAATCTTCAATCAAAATATCTGAATGCCACGACTGACCAATCAGAATCAATTATTCTAGACAACCGTGTTCCAGGACATGATTTTACAACCTGATAAAAGACAGGTTTGCAGGTCGCTTTTTTGGCTGCAGAATAGCCTGTAATTCTCAGAGGTTAAGAATAATGAAAATGGAAAAATATAAAACGGTAACATTTCCACTAAGCCTCTGAAGAAACAGGCAAGAATGAGCATGCAATAATTACCTCCTTGTCCTTCTGATGGAGGTGATTACATCGATCCAGGAAGGCATGGCAACCAGCCACCCACTCCTTCTGCACTAGACGTGTTCCAGGACATGATTTTACAACCTGATAAAAGACAGGTTTGCAGGTTGCTTTTTTGGCTGCAGAATATAGCCTGTAATTCTCAGAGGTAAAGAATAATGAAAATGGAAAAATATAAAACGGTAACATTTCCACTAAGCCTCTGAAGAAACAGGCAAGAATGAGCATGCAATAATTACCTCCTTGTCTTTCTGATGGAGGTGATTACATCGATCCAGGAAGGCATGGCAACCAGCCACCCACTCCTTCTGCACTAGACTCTGGAAACCCATCAGTGTTCTGTAATAAGGGTCCAGCATTATCTGAGCCAGACTGGAGATCACACAGCACAGATCTGTTCCCTCTTCCTCTGCAATCAATCAATATCAAGACAAAACATCAGGGGATACGATCTCAAAGTAAAAGGGATTGATCTGTCAAGGTTTAAAAGTACTTCATTTTTAAAAGTAAGGTGTGCAATTTATGCTCCAAGTAGAATTGCAGTTCTCTCAGACACTCCTACCACCCCTGGACAAACAGATGTGGTCCCATTCCAAACTCACACTATTGGTTAGAAACTAACATGTTGGACCACTTGAACAAACAAAATGTTTTGAAAGGACCAGATTCTTTGGAAAGTTGAATTTAGTTGAAACATGCTTGTTATAACCTACCTGTTATAAGAACATTTGTGTTGTCCTTTTCAAGACATTCAACCACCTCTACTGCTTTTTGGAGACATTGTCTGTTGAGGACATTAAATGCAGCTAGATAATAGTTTCATAGAATCTAATTAATGATTATGAACAGGAATGCAAATAGTAGTATTTTATTAATGCAAGCTGACCTAATAATGTCTAGCCATCCTGAGCTTTCAAGGGAAGAGAACCATTTCACATCTGACAACCAAAAATCGGTTGAATTTTCTAAGAGAAAAATAAAAAACATTAAACAGTGATATCCATCCTTTCGTTTAATATTTGAGAATTTTTGTTTCACCTATTCCTGTGAAAGAGATGTGTATACTGTGACTCACCGATAAGAAAGAATTGTTTGAACTTGTTATATGACTGCTGGATGTCTTGGATATTAGGAAGTGATTCTGAGAGGTCCTCTGTTTTTACAGAGTAAAGGTAATTATGTGCAACTGCATTTATCATTCTGAAAAAAGAAAAAAAAAAGAACTTGTCAATGTGAAGGTATTATTGACAGTCAATACTATTGACAGTTTTTGCTGTGGACACCATATTACACAACCATTTTGGCCCTTCAACTGATCAGAGAGCAGGAAAAACACAAAGAAAGTATATTGGTTCATGCTAATGGTGTCTAGCACACTACTAGGTAACATACTGCCATGTTGTTCTTTGATAAAAAACAGTGCCCTTGAGTGTCTGAACATAAAAACACAGAAACCTAGGGCACAAAAAACCATGAGGGTATCGTAGCGGATTGGAAAAATAAACAGTATAATAAACAGAGTCAGTATATTCTTTTACGTTTCCAAGTGCTTTTGGAAATCCCCATCTTCCTGTGTCACAGGCGGGAAAGACGCTTTGAAGAGAGCACAACCGCTGTAATGAGACCAACACCAAATCTAAAAAGAAAAATAACAGACATCCAACTTCAGATACGATCAGCTATACAAATTACAATTTGTATACAAATTCCAACATTATAATAACAAACATTATGACAACATTCATAAAAATGGTTTAAATGCTCAGATATTAGAAAATATTCTTAACTCACTGGTAATCCCTTTCCTTGGTAGCTGAATAAATCCCCTATTGCTAATGGGATGACAAAGTACTTCGGTAACCTAAAACGTAAGAGCAGTGTTTTTGTTAGATACATTTATTTCACAATGTATGACATGCTACAGAAAAACATTTTGCAACTATTTTTTAATTGTTATGCATGCATGCATTTTACCTTATAATAATTGAGACTACATGAAATATTTGTTCTTTTAAAAATGCATATACTGTATATCAGGACTATTTAACTGCTAAAAGGTGATTAAAGAGTAATAGTGATACGTTCCATCACCTAAAATAATGTAGTTTTTTTTGTGAACTACCCAAATGTAAACGGTGTAGGATAGATTTTATATCAGTCTAGGTCAGTAACACATATAAACATAGATTGGAGATTACATCCTGTTCCTGAACATGTACCTTGTAATTCAAACAATAGTAACATTTTATCAGACACTTCACAGCCAACAACAGCAAAAAGTACCTTTGAGAGAGTTCAAAGTTCTTGTTTTCAATGACTAATCTACAGTTCGCTTTTGTCCGTTTCATTTCCTGGGTCCAGTCCTCTGGTGAGTCAAACATAATTGTCTCCTGTTTCCGCAGCATTTCTGCAGATACAAAATATATCTTTTGTTGTTGTTCCAAAGTTGACTAATGAGGCTCAACTAACCCTGGCTGATAATAAGAAAAATTATTTCTTTAAAAGAATATCGGCATATTAGAATGATTTCTCAAGGATCGTGTGGCACTGAAGCCTGGAGTAATGGCTGCTGAACATTCAGATTTGCATTGCAGGAATAAATTACATTACAATGTCTATAAAGAAAGAATGAATGTTGTTCTTTCAGCCATCTGCTGAATTCCAGTTGCACAGACTATGATCAGAATTTAGCAGCTGGTGCTACAAGACCAGAGCTGCATATGTTCTGCATAAGTGTGACTTCATGAACTTCTCAAGGTGATGTTTTTCTTCATGTTGTATAAGCAGTTACATGTGTTTGGTGAATTACTGGTTTCGGGTGCTGCTGTATTTGGAGGGATTGTGTTTCAAAAGCAGTTAAATGTACACATTACAAACATAAGAATGAAGTACTCCGACAACAGCTGTTTTTACATCAACAAGAGAAACATCATCAACACAATGAAAGCCTCTACAAAAAGATAAATCTGTACCTGGGCTTGGTGTCCCCATATAGGAAAAGGCAAAGACACACTTCAGAGATTTCTCCTCCAAACAATGGTGAGCAATACCCTGAAAGATCTGAAAAAGCAAACAAACAAATGCACAAGGGGATGTGAAACCCTCTTTAAAATGCACATATACATTTCAGTCCTGATGTCAAACAAATTACCTTTTTGGCATCTTCCTCCTTGGTGAATGTTAGACAGAACTGAAAGACTCGTAGGTCTTTACAGTGAATGATCATTTTGGATGGATATTTGTTCTTCACAAGGCCTCCTGTTATCAGTTTTCTCTTTTCATCATAAACTTTGAAAGAAATTAAATGTTTCTCAGAACTCAGTTCAAACCAGTTCATATTACATTCAAACCAAAAAGCTTTACCAAGAAAAATCTCATTGTTATTTATTTATTTATTTTTTTTAATATGTACAGATTTACATTCATTAATAATGCTAAAAAGTAAAAACAATTATTACCACCATAGATGTGATCCACACACATTAATGGAATGTCATTTTTTTCTCCATAGAGTTTGTTCTTAAAGGTCTTGGCCTGGAACAATAGTAAGTGACACAACAGCCTCTTAGTGTGCTCTCTCAATGCAGACAATAACAAAGTAAGCAATGATTATGAAAGACAGCGATTAACAGATACCAAGTCATCTATGAAAGGTGTGTTTTTACACGGCACACCATAACTAACAGTAAAGCCAGATGCTGTTGCCTCGTTCAGTGTGCTGTATAAAACTTTCACACAATATTTTGATTGTGAAATCAAGCGTGAAACACACTTCAGTCCCTGTGAACCACCATCAAATATAAGTCTGAAAGTAGCCTATGAAACCTCTTGATACCAACTAACACTAACATCTGACCAAAATTAGCTTTCAGCAACAACATGTTCTGCAGCTTTTTAAGATCACTGATTAGATTAGTAACATTTATATACTGATCTTAGTCAGTATACTGGTCTTAACAAGCCCCCCCCAAAAAAAGATCTGAAACCAAGAGTACCTGGCACTTCATGAGTACCTGACTATTTGAGGTTGCTCGAAGTTTCCCACCAGAATTTCACTGCCAGTCAGTCAGGCACTCAAGTTCCTGAAATGGCAGCTAAAGTGAGAGCACTCACAGCACAGTTCCTCATGCAAGGTCACAGAGCATGAAGTCTGGCAAAGCTTTTTTTAAGTCCAACACCCAATGTCTCAAGGCCAACAAAAATGGACTGTATTGACACTTTTTCTATTTACTATTTTCTATTTAAATTTGTTTTGTTTTTTTATTAGCTGAAATGTTTATCCAAACCTGACTAACAAACAAGAAAATACTATTTATCATACAGGAGCAAACAAAATTAGTTCAGCAGTGTTTAATTTATTTGATTGAACAAACTTTTCCTGGACACTGTCATTTACCCAAATATGCTGATTTCCAATGCAGTAATTCAAGATCTACAAAACTGTTTTGGATTCACAGCAGGGCTGTCAATTTAATGTGTTCATTTAACATAAATACTTATAAAACCAACAAGTAAAAAAACAAAAAGCACATTCAGTCATGCCCACAGAATGAGTAATGAGCTTTTCAAACAGGACACATTTAATAAAAAAATAGTAATAAATACTAAAAAATATTATTTATTAATTACAATTAATAGCATTCTTATCATTGATATAGACAATTGTATGAATAGTAGACAATTCTAGCTCACACGTTCTCTTCTCTTCAAATCACACTACATGTAAAAGAATGCTGCAGTCTACATACAGGAAGTACATGATGCTTTAAAAAAAAACAGTGGTTCTTTGGTCGGTTGAATTACAAACTATAGATTGCTTCTTAGGTGACAGTATTGTTGATGTAACATAAGGCCATTTTTATGGAATACAGTGTTCATATGTTGAATATTTTGGTCTACTGTAAGCAGATAAAATCATGACTATTTCCATGCTTAGGTGAATTGGTGGCAAATTCGTAATGTCAGTGGTATGTGTTTGTACGAATTGCTTACAATCCACTGAGGGTTAGATTTAGGGGTGGACCTTCATGCTTTATTTAATTTTTTTAATCTTACATTCGTACGAATTAGTAAAATACTAGTTCATTCTCATGAGACTGTCAGAACAGAAGGGTTTGTTGAGTCCTGTCACCAATCCTTACCGTCTTCTCCTGTGGTGTCTCATCACTAATGAACGTAACACGAAAATTGGTGCAGAACAATGTGCCAAAGACACCATGCTGGGAGAGATCATCTTGAGAGTATTTGAGAATGGGGTTGGCGCTACAGAACTCCACTTCACCTAAGGAGCAACAGAATAACAGTCAAGTTAGTTTGAATAAACACAATGGCAACAACACAGACTGTTGTTCCAGGTTACACCGTGTCTACACCAGACATGACAAAACGACCACTGCAAGTCATTTTAACTTTGTGTCTGTACATCATAAACAGAACAAGGCATTGGTTTACTTTCGGGAATTTGTTGTGTTGTGTCATTTGACACATCTAGTGTAGACAGCATCAATGATTACTTTGGGTTTTTTGTATTTTGTTGCATTGTGCCACGCCACTCGCGTCTGGTGTAGACATGGTGTTAGTTTTGTTTTGTGCAGAGCTTTAAAGAAATGCAGTCTGTGTTTTAGTATATTACCCACTTTTCTGTATCTGCAAAACCACTCTGATTACATTAGAAGAGATCTCTGGAAGCTACCCTCTGAATTAGAGAAAAATTATTATAGTCTGAATTGAAAATTACACCGAAGGGACCAGTCACACAAAACATATTTTAGATTTACTTACAATAATACAAAGAAAATCCTGAGAGAGCTAAACATTATGTAAGGGATTTCCTATTTACCTGGTAGCAAATCAGGATGTTTCTCTTTCTTTGGAGGGTCTTTCTCCGCTTTTATTTCCTTAAGAAGACAGAAGCAATAAAATTATAGTATAAACTGTAAATGTGATTGATTATCTAATAAAGTATCTTACTAAATTACATTTTCATAAGTACTATATAGCATATATAATGTCCAAAACATCATGCCATATTTCACGCAGAGTGGCTGCTGAAGAGTAAGACAAACTGATGTCCTCTTTTGGAAGACCAAACAAAGTAGTTTCCTTTCACAATGAAACACACGGTGGGCTAGAGTGAGCGGCGGCCGGCGGGCTTGCGGCAACCACATGTGACGACCCCGGGCTGGACTCCGCTTCGTCCATGGTGAAAGCCGATCCGGCGAGCCACAGCGTGAAGTTGATGCATTTCCTCAGCGACCAGCACGCATCAGCTCCAGGCATGACGAAGCCATATCGTCCTCTTTTGGAAGGCCAAACAAAGTTTCGCTTTCACAATGAAACACACAGCATCTCGACATGGCGGCAGCAACAATACTACAGCGATAATAAAAGTTATACCTTCTTTCTTTGCGTGAACATTTGGGCTGCGTTATGCAAATATTCCCACATCGTGACGTAGCCAGACTGTTAGAACCATAGACTGTATAAAAACATGGACGTAGTATCCGTGACGTCACCCGTAGTTTTCCTAAGAGCATTTTTGAAGCCTAAAGTAGGCAGAGCTTGTAACACTTCAAAGAGAGAGGAAAAATTTTAATCGCATCATCTGACCCCTTTAAAGGAAGAGTTCACTCAAAAATGAACATTCAGTCATTAATTACTCATCATCGTGTTTTTTCAACCCTGTATACCTTTCTTCATTATTTGTAGAACACAAATGAAGATATTTTAAAGAATGGTGGTAACTAAACAGTAGGGGTGCTCTGATTGATCGGCTACGATCACTATCGGCCGATAATCACGTTGGGATGATTGATCGGCGGTCTCTAAAATGGCCGATCTCAAATACCGATCTCAAGCTGATGACACTGCCCTGAGAGGTTTGGCAAGACATGCAGCGGCACCGTCTTAGTCTCTTTCCGTTGCAGGTAAAATAATTATAATGCTGAAGGTGAGCTCTCTTTATCTATCAAAATATGCAAACGGTTTAATATCACCACACATCGCATCTATCTATAAGCGAGCTGCACGCTGCACAGTTGACACAGGAATTGTCACTTGCACAGTCGAGGCAGTGTCACTAAAGTTTATAAATTGCATTACTTTTTAATTCTTGCCAGTGTTTAACCATTCAGCGCCCACGCGCTCTCCTGGTGCACACTCGCAGTGCACACACATAATGCCAGGTTCACTTACTCCGTTTGCGGTGCGCATTTTTTCCGCGCTCAGGTTAACCCCTTATTTACACTGCACACGTCTGCGGCACGTTACGGCTCCAAAGAGGTTTTGTTACGTCCTTCACGCGGTGCCAACTCACACCAGAAGTGGATCAGAAGCGCAGCGGTAGGATTCGCGAGACCACGTGATTTGCCTGTCAGATGATGTTTGGTTGCTCATATTGTCCTTGTAAAAAGGATTTATGATGTCATACAACACCATGTGTTTTTGTATTTCGAGGATGAACAGCTCTTCGTCAATTTCTGGCCTCCTGCCAAAGATATGTGACCGTGAAATACGATCGGGAGTCTGCACAGGGTGTTTATTTTGAAATTGACATGATTTTTTGACTTTTATTTTGTATTTGTTGTGCGGTTTGGACGCGGCGTCCGTCAAAAATAGACTAGGCGCCTATCTTTAGCGAAGCGGCGCAGAGACCCGGTTCTGGTACGCTTTTGAAACGTGCCGCGGCGCGTCTGGTGTAAACACAAGCATTGACTAGAATGACCGCGATCAGTTCCTGTAGCCGCGTCGGAGCTGTAATGCGCCGCACACGTGTGCAGTGTAAATAAGGGGTAACGGATTGACAAAGCGTGAACACTGCGCACGGTTGCGGTACAGCAGTGCGTTCCACGAGCGGTGCATCTGCAGCAGTGCAGAAGATCATTTCCGCACTGAGTCTATTGCTGCGCTGCAAGCGCTTAATTAAAGTGCCAGCGCACTGTTTGCAGTAAATATGAACATGGATTGACACGAAAATTTAGTAATTATCCCATAAATGCATATTATTAAAGTCTACTGTGTTTCACAGTCAACACATATGGCTTTTTGGCTAGGTTTAAAGGGAAAGAGCACTTTTAGATAAACAAGGCAATAATAGATGCCACTGGTGGAGGTAGGAAAACAAAGTTTTTTTATGAACCGCAGGATTGCTTGTAATAAAGATTTAAATGCAAAAGAAAAGGCAGTAGAGCTGACTATTTCGGTCAATGGTAAGTTTGCGATAACGTAAGAAAAGTAGTTGAAATGTTTTGCCACTTGCTTGAGCAACTTAATATATAAATCTAGAAGTAAATGCAAAAGTAAAAAGCATTGAATAATGTTTTTTAATATTTATTGTGTTTAAACGTGTCTGTGAAAGATTGTATTGTACGGTGTAAAAAAAGAATCACAATGCTGAAAAAGCACTTTCAGTGACAGTGTTTGGATTTGAAATCAAACTAATGGATAAATATTGTGTTTGTGGTAAACAGCCACGGATCAGTAGCGGACTCCTGTGTGAAAGCACAGTCCGTGCTACTTCCCCTCTCACAAGAGACACCTAAGAGGGGAAATTCCCCCCATTTTCAAAAATGAAATTCAGGCCCTGAATAAATGTCTAAAAATCCTGATTGGAGTATCACTATAAATAGTTATAAATGATAAAAAGAAGGCTTTAAAAAGATTGGTATCTGTGATCGGTATCGGCAGATACTACTTTCTGTGATCGGCCTCAAAAATCCTGATCGGAGCACCTCTACTAAACAGTTTTGGTGTCCAGTGACATCCACTGACTGTATGGACAAAAAAATATCCTCTTTTATATTTTACAGATGAGGAAAAAAAAGCCATACAGGTTTGGAATGACAACAGATAGTTAAATTACTTTTTTTCCCCATTTTTTGGTAGACAATCCCTTTAACATTTGATTTAGTAACATTTTATTTTAGTGTAATATACAAGTAATATAATGAGAACTGAAACAAAATCAGCCGACTAAGACACTCTACCCAGAATAATTTTGTCTCTGGCCCCATGAATTTTAGCAGTAGCCCTGCGATATCCATAAGACATGCTTTGCAACTTTAAAATTTAAATCAGGTTACTTCTCTTGTTACTGGTTCAAACAGATAAAAGAGGTTTTAGAAAACAGCAAAATCAATAAACTAATGGCAATGTGTAAAAACCGTGGAAGTTCAGTTGAAACAAAAAGGACAAATTAAGGAAAGGAAGTCATCAAGCATCCTGGCTACTATGAGGCCAGCTGCAAAACACGACAGCCAAAACTTCACAAATAGACCCAAGTATTTGGGACACTCCTTTCCCTAATGACTTCCTGGGGGTGAACACATTCTCTTAAAATTTGCTTTTGAAACCAGAGACATTAAAAACACATGGTCTTTCCGTTTATGTAAATTCTGCCAGACATAAATATGGATCACAGTGGGTCTTCGCTAATATCAATTCAACAAAAATGAGGGGAGAGTGCTGTGAGATCCGACCAAGCCCCCTGGTTTGGATCTTCAGAGTGGGAATCACCTGAACTCTTCACATAAGACCAGTGGCCAGTTGCATAAACATACATACTATGTCTATGGTTAAGACTGAGTCTTAAAGGGGGAGGGGGGGGGGGGGCAATGCTGTTTCATACATTCAGAGTTGTTTACACTGTTAAAGAGTTGGATTCTCATGCTAAGCATGGACAAAGTTTCAAAAAACTATTTGGATGTATGACGGAGTATTTCTGTGCCAAAAATCTTACTTCCGGGTTCGTACAAGTTTCGGAGAGTTTTTTGTTCGATCGTGGCTCTTCATGACGTAGACGAGGGTGGAACTCCTTATATGGGCATTTGTCCCGGAAGAGCGCGCCCGCGCACACATCGACCAGAGTGAGAGCAAGAGTGAGATCGCGCCCATCAACGCGCTTCATCCTGCGGCAGCGCTGCACGGGACTGTCTCCAATACAAAGAAGTGTGTTTTTGATTGTAAGGGAAAGATAACTTTTTTCAGCTTCCTAAAGAACCCAGCGTTATGTAAACAGTAGATACAGTTTGTTTTTCCAGGGCAGCAACGGAGTTTCACAAGTGTGTTTTTGAGGAATGTTTTACAAACAAGGCCCAGTTCAATGCTGGATTTGCACATCGTTTGATACTGAAAGATGGAGCGGTCCCAGCTATAAAAGATCCAGGTCATGATTCAGAACTGCATACGGTAAGTGAAATGGCATCAAATGTCTGTTTTGTTGGCATTCGGCGCTCAAGTGCTCGTCACTCTTTAGCACCACCCATGGAGCGCCTCCAGGAGCTCTGCTTTTTCCGGAGAGAATCGTAAAGCTGTATCTTTCTTTTATAAACATGACAAAACTAAAGACTTTTTGTAGATATGAAGGATGCAGTACTACTCTATAGGTACTCAAGATTAACATGAGATTGGGTGAAACTGTGTGTGTTATGCCCCCTTTAAGAACTAGCTTGACCAATTTATGCAAATTGACTTGAAAAAGTTCCTGAAGAAAAAATTAGACTAACGTTTTGGACTAGTCTAAGTAGTTTATAGTTAACGGCGGACACAGATCTTCCTGTATTCATTTAACAGGATAGCTCATCAGAATTTACTCACCCCCATGTTGTTCCAACCCGGCATAACTTCCTTTCTTGGCGGAGATGTTAGGCAGCCTCAATCATCACTCATTTTCACTGCTTTTTTTTAATACAATAAAATTGAACAGCGACTGAAACTGTCATTCTGCCTAAAACCCTTACATTACGTATTTGGCAGATGCTTCCGGCTCATGCATTCCCTAGGAGTCGAACCCATGACCTCGGCGTTGCAAGCATCATGCTCAACTGTTTAGAGCTACACAAAATGAACTAACTTCTCATTTTGTGCTCCACAGAATAGGGAAAGTCGTGCAGATTTTAAACTTTAATTTAAAATTTTTTATGTTTTTATCCACTAATCTCTTGAATAAAATGGAAAGCAGTGGTTTACATCTTCATGTTGCTTCTACATTGAGTACAACCATTCTATCCATTATGCTTTCTTTAATGAACAATAAGAACATGAACTCTATTGTCCATCAGTGGGTCATGACACAACCCATAGCATCTATGCCCGAGCGCGCACATGTATCAACACTAGATGCAAGTTAAAGTTCAAGGCGATGAATGGACTTCAAACACATCACATGTTTGAGGCAAGGAAGACACTCGTGACTCGTGTCAATAAACAGAAAAATCATTCAATAGCCTGGATTACAACCTCTATCCAAGCAGACTACCTTGTAAAGTTGAGGACTTCTGGCAAGGCTAGAAAACTAACTTATATTTCAGTCGTCAAACCGAAGACTTTCAACTTCGAGGTGTAACTTAAGTGAATGAAAAATCGCTGTTGCTCTTTGAATGCATTTTCCCCATGAAACGCACACAAAACTGAGATTTCCCTGTTTGTCTAAACTTGAACTAGTCGACAATGTCAACATCAACAAGGGACTTACTAACCCCGCCCAGTGCATGACTATCCGCGGTTTAAACTATTCTTTTAGTTCAATTCAGCGTCTCTGGGCTGTTTTGAAAACAACGCAAGTAAGTTATAATACTGCACGAAAGCTTTCGCTTACCTCGGGTGTAACATAAGACACAAACGACGGTTTAGTAGACTTCGCTCCTCCGCTCCCCAAACTCAACATTTTGCCTGTCCCAGTGTCCCGCTTCCCGAGCAGTCAGGTGGAAATCCGGGAGAGCTCGAGCTGCCCGACTTTCCTCTCCCTCCACCTCTCCTTCTACAGCGCGATTTCCTTTGGTTGGAAGACAAACCTGCTCTGACAGCAAACCGCGCCCATTCTACGTCATTGGTTCTTTATGAACAAACGGTCCATTTTCTGTGCTGGTCAGCGCAAGTTGCTTATCGCTCATTGGTTGACGCGGCTGTCAATCACAAGCTCTTCCTCATTGCCGAACCCATAAGCAGTCGTATTAAAATAGCCTACGCCCTGAAGTGAGAAGGGGCTTGTGTTTATATAGCTAGACTACAACTGCACTTTAAGTTTTTTTCTTTGCTTTATGGTTGCACGTCTTGCGATTTCCTTATTTGTGCACAGACTAAAGTATTTCCTTATTAGCATAAACAATAGAAAAGACACCTGTGAGACAATCTAGAAGTAACATGCACAAATAACGACTTGAATTCTTAATCAGTGAATTATCAAAGCTCTTTGATTGCATTAAACAAAACTAAATCTCCAAGTTAAATATGACTCTACATTTATTTCAGTTATACCGAATATAAAGTTTTTGTTTTTTAAGAAAAAGAAAAAAACTAATAACATCATTCTAGAAATGTCTTTATTATACGCATTGTAATGCAGTAGTACCTTGACATTGAATGACAAGCATCAAAGGGTAAGTCTACATCAACCTGCGGTTACAACACAGATATTTCACTTGTGTCCCTCCCATCTTCTTCAATAGATATTCAACAACCTCGAATCAGAAACCAAAATTAGGGCAAGCAACTATGCATCTATAAACCAGTAAAACAAAATCCATTAAAAACAAAGAACAAACAATCCTGTGCTTTAAAACCATACAGGCATTTGTTTCTGAAGATCTATTGCAAGATTAGATACAGGCTTAGTAAATGATCATATATTAGAGATCATAGCTATATGATCACATTTAAAGATACATTTAGGGTTTACAATATTATGAACAAAACACAGGCAGACCTGGGTCATTACAATTTCTAAAAGGGGGGGGGAGGGAAAAAAAAAAGTCTTTGACCTTAAAATACAAAACGTTTACTGCTCTGAATACTTCCCTGTGTGAACAACTGATCTGAAATGGACTGGTAACTCAAGATTCCCTATTAAACATACAGAGACAACTGATAGATACTTATGGTATACAGCCCAGGTCTGATTTCAATAGTCAAGTGTCTTCAGAAACGTGATACAGCTAAACCACAGAGGCCTGTGAATATCGGAGCACACTTACAGCTTAACTTTGGGACAAGTGTAGCCTTACATTACTTGCATTAAGCATATAGAAGGAACAAGGTTCTTAAGATGTTTCATTGACGTACATTTACAAATGGTTAAAAGCCATCCCAGCCTTCAGAATGCACTAGCAATGGAAAATACATGCTTGTATAAATCCACGTCCAGTCAACGTCACATTCATCACAACAGGACAAATGCGTCGCAAAAATCAATCATTTTATCTTCGATCTTGTGGTTTTAAGAGGAATGTCTCTAAACAGAAGTTACAAAAACACCTAAACAATTTATTGCAAAGCCAAGAAAGCCATTGTCCAAGTTACTTTACATGTGTGACTGGAAGGATAAGATATACTTGAAAGAATCTGTTCCATACTGACAAGTACGCAGCTCAGACTTTTACAAATGCCTAGCCTGAAACTCGTAAGAGAGCTGAAGATGGTGAAAGATTACATCCAATGTGCTGAATGCAGCATGAACTTCAGGCTTAACCTTTCAGGTTTGTGCACATCTCAAATCTTTAAACCAAGACACCAGACTAAACAACAGAGATGGACTACAGTCTATGCGTCAAGGAAATGAAGCCTGGCATTTCCCCAAGTGGCCTTCATTAGGCCTTTAGCGGATCTTAAAAACAGAACTTAATGAGTAGTAATCAGCATGCACAGAGGTCAAAAGAAACAACATTTCGTATTCCTGGAATGAACAGGATTTATAATGGGCGCAGGGAGAGCAGGGCTTGTTGTACTGTAGTGCACTTCAGAACCCCTCGTAGTCCTTCTTGTCTTTCTTCCCTTCAGCTTCAAATCCATCAGTCCCGTCGCTGTTGTCACGTCGCCTCTTGCGGTTATTCCGTACGTTGAAGCGCGAGTTCATCTGGGGCAAGGGGTCCATACCCAGAACCTTGTGAATCTGACGGAACGCCAGCAGCCTCAAGGCAAACTGGAGAAAGTGGCCGGTCAATACACAAATTAAAAATACGCTCGATTAACATGAGGCCATAAAAACTGAATACATAATTACACAATTATCGAAAAGAGTTTGTAATAATTTTAAATACAGTTACTGCAAGACATTAAGTCACATTAACACATTCTTAAAGCGGTTACTGTGTCCATTACCTGAGCACTTGATGTAATGTCCTCTCTCTGCTGCTCTTCCATGGTAGCCAGTGTATCTGTTGGATTCTTCTCACAGGGGTCTATCAATCCTGGAGCACCTGCGTTGCACAGAAAAGCACAAAAGCCAGGGAGTGTTAAATTGAGCATTTAGATTCCCAAGATGATAGTAAATTAAAAGAACTCTTAGTAATGCACACCAGTATAAAAGCTAGATTACTAATGTACATGACTACATGCCAACACAGACCTAAGAATCAATGCAATTCCCATAAAACGTGTCTTAAGACATCAGAGTGCTGCATCTTACCAGACAGCAGAATGCCTGAGGAAATACATTCAAAGCCTCTTCGAAGAGCATCTCCAGGGCTCATTGGTCCAGAGGCACTGCTGATGGCCTTCTCCACCAGCAGCTCCATAGCCTTAAATTAAACACAGTAACTTAATTTACCATAATAAATGGCATTTTGAGCGGTTTCCTCATAAGATCAAAAGTGAAGGATGATGCAATTGATTAAACAGGACTGAAAGTGATTTTACTTTAAAACCTTTATAGCAACAGTGTTAAGGAAGCTATGTTAAACTAAATGTGATCGAGCTACACCAGGGACAATATGAAAAAGAAATTAAATAGAGGAGGGGGAAAAAATTCCTTAAAATAACTTACTCAACTGTAGGAAAGGCCTAATTTTTTGTCAGATTTTATTGGCTATTTGACATGTTATTAAAAAGTAAGCTTAACAGGCTATCCTGAGTAAAGTAGAAAGAAGCTCATGTAAAACTACAAAACAACTAGCCAGGAATGTTATCAAGATGGCTGCTAAGTGGAAAAGAACATAAGTGCATGGTGTGCCTTTTAGGGGAACACTAAATCAATCCATGAAAAAACTGGCTTGGTAATAATTTACTCATGGCAACAAGCAGGTCTATGTATTGTGTTAATGCCAGCTAATGGGACTTATACTCCGTTATAAAAGCTATGCCATTTAAAAATAATAAAAAAAAGCTGCTTGGGTTTTAAAGTAACCGTGTTCGTTGTGCTTCATGCGTTGCTACAATATTGACGATCAACCATTATTGCCCACAGCACTTTTAAGTGTCCAACACTGTACATCTATGTATCAGAGAAAACTCAAAAACATGTGCTAATGTTTAATGACCAGACATTGTTACTCACCCAGCTAGGAAAGGCAGACCAAGTGGGTACTCGCTGACAAAGGTCACGCAGTATTCGAATGACAATCACACATGACTGGAGTCCATTAGCCCTAGCCTTCAGTGCAGTGAAGTCAAGATTAGTTAATGCACAAGAACAAAAACACACAGTCATACAACATGGCGGAGCTCAGAGAGAGGTGCAACACTACTGTTCACAATGGAAGCTTATAATTGGATTAAAAATAGCTAGGCCAATTGGCTTTCTTAAGCTGCCATTTCCAGCAGTATTTTACCTCACCATTAGTACAAGTACGAGTTCAAAGTTTGCAAGATTCACTTGGAATGGCTCCCTGGTAATCTTGTAAACCCTAACCTCAGTTGTCAGATACTTCACAAACATATACTTTCATTTTACAAAAGATCAGTTTGCAAGAGTAGTTGCATAGGAACTGAAGCAGTCAAGGAAATCCGCTTTACTTTGCCTGTGTATTTGCAGAGATGGCAACAACACAGTAAACTAATCAGATATTCCTTTCCTCTCAATCCCTATTCCCAAGAAAACTAAATTAACTAAATAAAGAGAAAAAAATTAAATTAAATTAAAAAAAAACCAAAAAAAAAAAAAAAAAAAGCAAACGCTCAACATGAAAGCTCTTATCGATGACACTTTTATGCAAAGGTATTCTGCAGCCTTATGGAATAATTTTACATGCTATGTATTTAATCTAAGACTTATGAATAAATGACATATGCAAGGATGCTTAATTTTTTAGGATCAGATCAGCTCATGTATACAAAAACAGAATGCAAAAAAATAGTACCATAATCTCCAAATTATATACTGCATCCTTGTATCACAATTACCTCCCAAAAATCAACTGAGGTTTAAAATTTAAAAACAAAAAGACTAAACAACTTAAAATGAACAAATAAAAAGGAATACATCTCATAAGGCTACAAGAAGAAAAGTAAAATGATGTTCCGAACCTGGAACCACTTAGCGTGGCGTAGGGCAGCCAGAGCGTCAAGGCATTTTTGCCTGTCCAAGACGTCCGCTGGGTCTTTCACCATACTCGAGGTTACATCTAAAAATGGATCGAATTGTCAAATGGTGGTGAGGAACGGGTGTTTGACCAGGTCAGAGAGACTGCCAAGAACACATTGCCACACATACCAGTCAGTTCCTGATCACTGCTCTTTCAATTTAAATCTCACATTTCACCCCATATGCAGAATCTTTCAGATATTTTCAACAACATTAAGGATCAGCTACACTTGCCATTTGGTGCACTTCTATTTAGTCTGTGGTGTGGTGCCGAGAGAAATAGGATAGGGATGGAGTTAAAGTACGAAGTTAAAAATAAAGACCTTTGTCAAAGACAATTTTTAAAAAAAAAAAAACACTGAGATTGTGGCATAGTGATGTAGGATTTCTTCATTGGAGTTGGAAATGCACTCATGATTTTTTTTTGTACTCTGCATATAGTGAGCATGACACTAATTTCTCTTGATAAAGACTATTTCAGTTACA